GATTGACCACAAATGGATCAACGTATGGCAATAATGCATCTCGAAGGAAAAGAAAACCTTGGTCCGAGGCAGAGGACCTTGAGTTGATGGCTGCAGTGAAGAAATGCGGTGAAGGGAATTGGGCAAACATCTTACGTGGTGACTTCTTGAGTGATCGAACTGCTTCACAGCTATCTCAGGTCTTTTTCTTGTTTTTCACCTTTACTTATGTGTCAGTAGCAAAGCATGCTTTAGGGAGTGTTCACTTATTTATCTCTCTTTTTCATTACTGAAAAAACTATTACCATCTCTCTTTTGTCTGATAAATTCTTAGCTTGTTAGCTTCTCGCATTGCCTCAAGTTTATAGCATTTTTAGGGAAAGGTTCCTGTCCCATATTATTCCTATGCTCTGCAATCTGTATAGTTTCATTATTCAGCTCTGCATGTCTTGTATTTTTCTCTATCATCATTCAACTGACATATGTATTGTAGTCTTTTCTATCTTAACACCCTGGATCGTGTAGCAAAAATATTATCCTTGTGTGTGCTTTCCTCCGTGGATTGTTGTCATCGACATCTTTCTGTCAACTAGGGCTCTTTTTTTTTTTTTTAAAAAAATAATAATTAATTTTTCAATTTTTTTTTATTTTTATGTTTCATGTTTTGACGGAGGTAGTGCTTATCTAACTTTTCACCATCTCATTTTTCTTCTTTGGGTGGGGGGTGGGGAATCTAGGAAGAAAATATCATCAAAGTGGGACAATAATAGGACAACCTCTGAGTATCTTGGTTAGAAGCTTGATGGTTAGGTTGTGCTAATGACAGTAATACGGTGGCACACAAATAAAAACTTTAAAGCTTAAGCATTATTGTTGGGGTCTGAATGTTCCTATCAGAAAGAAGGTCTGGTCTTCAACATGAAGTCAAATTTCCCATTTCATTCTATTCCTTACTCTTACACTTGGTCTTTTGTTAACTTTAGGAGACAAATTTGAGAGACCATTCCACCGAACCTTCTATTCGTCTTAGCTTTGTAACCATTAGTTTCTATCAACAAATGAGAAGTGAGCGAAAAGTGAAAATGAAACTTCTTATGAGGTCCAGTAGTGCACACTGCTATTATGATTTCTTATTATCACCATGACTTGTTGCAGCAGATATATATTTCAGAGAGGAGACTATACCTATTTGTAATATCACTCTCACCAACCTCCCATACAACCACCCTATGGTTCCGAACAACTTGAATAGATGGAGAACTAAAGTCCACTCGTTCGGCTTATTCTTTCAACCATAACGGCTGGCAATTTGGATTAAGAAACCAATAGCAATTTTTTTTTGTAACCTCCTGTAGTGCTTGATAATTTGACATCCCATCTCTTTTTGTACTTCTCTCTTGGTAAATGAAACTTTTCTTATCTATAAAAGAGAAATGCCAGTCTAGGTGCATCATGGATAGATACAATATTCCTCATTACAATGCTTCCCTCATTGTACAAAACGGTTCAAATTTTTTTTTGCTATCTTCATGTGTGAAGTTACAACATTGCTTAGTAATTAAATTTTCATAAAATTTCTTGTTCCCATTGGTCCATTTATAACTCCCAAAATCAAGTTGATTGTGGCAATATTTTCTTTCTCGAAATCTTAACATGCTGCCTTACCATTCTATTTTTCATTTCTCATTTTGTTTAGTCACGCCAATGCTGCTTAACCATGACTTCCAAGATACATTAAAATGAAGCAACCAACCACAATCGATTGTCCGTTGTCTTCTAGTCAGGCCAGAATCTGGGTTCGACCCAGTTGACCCGGGTTCAAATCCCGGCAGCGGAGTCTTTTGTAGAGAAATTCTTATAATTCTTTCAAATTTACCATGTAATTGGTTTGTCATGTCTTTTCTGTAGCCTGTATCAGCCATGTAACCTAAGCTCAACTCTCCAACTCCAATTAATGATTATCTCGTGTCTGGAATATAATCCAATTCTTTGGTCCTGTAGAGATGGGCAATTATTAAAAAGAGACACGGAAATTTGAATGTGGGAGCCAACACGGCTGGTACACAGCTATCTGAGGTGCAGCTGGCAGCTCGTCATGCAATGTCTTTAGCTCTTGATAGGCCAGTTGGTAGCTTGAAAGCTGCTCGAATAAGTGGCTCAGGTAACTACTATCTTCTATAGGTTTCTTTAAAGGGGATTTTAGTTCTCTATTTCAAATTTAGGAAAATAGGCTAATCTCTAAAAAATTATTGAATATATATGCATTTTATAGAGTGTATTGTAGATTATATTTTTATACTGTAAAAGTAGGGTTTATCACATCCTCATCAGTCTGTTAACTCTATTATGCGACTATGAGATGTGGTTCATGCGTTTGAGAAGAAATGTCTTATTTGAAATAGTTCATGTTTAGGGTCACATGAGTTTCTTCAGCTACTTGACTTTGATGGATGTGTATGTCTAACGATTAATGTTTGTGAAACTAAGATTTGATTCCTTCTGCTGTTAATGCAACAAGTTTCTGATGTTTCTCATTTTTACAATTTCAATGTTTTTTTTTTTCTCATTTTCTAAATGGCCAGCCAGTACAAATACAATAGGTAATGGTAGCTCGCTTGCTCCCGTTGCCTCGTCTGAACAAGTGCAAGATAAATTACATCAGAGCCCTACTCATACAAAACCACATCCAGTTGGATCATCAAGTCTAACAGCCAAAGCTCAAGTTACCGCATCCAAGAAGATGATTCCCAAGTCTTCTTTTGATTCAGACTGTATTGTTAGAGCTGCTGCTGTTGCTGCTGGAGCTCGCATTGCTTCACCGGCAGATGCTGCATCTTTACTCAAGGCTGCTCAGTCAAAGAATGCCATCCATATAATGGCCAAAGTCCCTGCTTCAACCAAAACACCCACTCCTGCCCGGGGGCCAAACCATTTAGACGCTCATCCTAGTATTAAGACCACCACCCTTCCCCACACTTCTGCAGTCATGCCATCTGTGACTCATGGCGGGGGCCCTGTGAAGATCACGTCTTCAACAACTGCTACATTATCGAGTGCGCCAACGGACCAGAATATTTCTGTAGCCTCTGTCACAGCAGCTGCTAATCCATTGTCAGAAAAGGAAACCAAGACCACAGAAGAAACTAGAGGTCTGGGTTTAGGTGGTGTGCAGGCCACAGCCCAAAAGGATTGTCGTTCCAGGCAATCGATATCTGAGAGAGTTCAAGAAGAAAAGCCAGCTGACTTAGGACCACCTTTGAAAAGGCAAGCTACTGAGACTAGTAATTGCAGTAGCTCACAAACCACGTCAACAGCCGATGTTGATATTAAAGTTGAAAGCAATCAAGTAGAAGAGAGACAAAACACTAATACCAGTATGATTCCCGATTCCTCGAATCAGCAAGGAATCACAAATCAGTCACAGGTTGAGAGAACGAAACCGCAGGATATGGACATCGACAATGATGGGAAGGATAGGCCAATCATGAAAACAGATGGACGTAGCGAAAATTCAGTGCACAAGGAGGCTGCAAGCGAGTTTTGGAAGGGAAACACCAAGGATACGAACTAAATCTATCCTACCCCAGATGAAGAGAACAATTCTCTTCAGTTGTCGTACACGTGTTCTCGGAGATTTTCCTGTCAAGTTTATCACCAAGCATAGTGAATTCATCGTTTTCGCAACGAGCTGCATCAGCCCCTCTCTTTGCTAGAAGTGCTAGCTATTCGTTTGATATATCCTCTGCTTGCTTCAACTTGCATCCTCCACTGTAATCATGGAGAAGCAGCATCCGTTTGACCTGACTGTACCTGTATTTATTTTGATTTGTTCTTCAATTCTTGTTTCAAGTGTTTCTAACTACAAAATTTTCTGCCTCATGACTGATACATGTCAAGATCTGGACTCGGGGTTCGCTGTTCTGTTCATATGCTAACACGGAAAACTTGGTATCGTTCCTTTGACTTGAGTTCAAATTTAGGTGCAAGTTCTCTAACAAGATGTTTATTTTGTTGCATTTGTTACTGTAAATGTATGGCCAAAAGAAAAGAAAAGAAAAAAAAAAAGGAAGCTTTTATAGCGGATTTGTTCTATCTTTCATATATAAAGTAATTGTATGCTTTTTTTTTTTTTTTTTTTTT